TTCTCTAATCTTTTAATTTTTCTTTCTTTTTTTTTTTTGAGACGGAGTCTCACTCTGTTGCCCAGGCTGGAGTGCAGTGGCACGATCTCAGCTCACTGCAACCTCCACCTCCCAGGTTCAAGCAATTCTCCTGACTCACCCTCCCAAGTAGCTGGGATTACAGGTGCCCGCCACCATGCCTAGCTAATTTTTTGTATCTTTAGTAGAGATGGGGTTTCTCCATGTTAGCCAAGACGGCCTCGATCTCCTGACCTCGTGATCCACCTGCCTCAGCCTCCCAAAGTGCTGGGATTACAGGCGTGAGCAACCGCCCCTGGTCTATTCTTTAATCATTTTAAATGTTTCCTCCAAGCAAACACTTGAGAAGTCCTTAACAGTTATTAAAATTCTATAATCCAACCATACATAAATAAAAGAAGATAATAAATTCTCTTAAACATTCTGATACTACTTCTAAACTTTGCCAATAAACTGAGAATGAATGTTAATAAAATAAATGTTTAAGTAAACAGGCCGGGCGCAGTGGCTCAGGCTTATAAATGCCAGCACTATGCGAGGCTGAGAGGGGAGGACTGCTTGAACCCAAGAGTTTGAGATCAGCCTGGGCAATATGACAAATCTCTGTCTCTACAAAAAATACACAAATTAGCTGGATGTGATGGTTCCTGCCTGTAGTCTCAGCCCTCAGGAGGCTGAGGGGTGGGAGGATCACATGAGCCCAGAAGGTCGAATCTGCAGTGAGCCATGATCGCATCACTGCACTCCAGCCTGGGTAATGGAGCGAGACTCTGTTTTAACAACAACCAAAAAAAGATTTCACTGAGCAGACTCTTTAAACAGAAGAAATGAGGGTCCCCGACCCAGGCAAACGGTGGCTCCCACAGGACAATCGCTGCCCTCTGACCTTGTAGCAACAGTAATACTGGGGGACCCTGTGGCCAGGCCTGGTGCCATGAGCAGGGTTCCTCGTGCCCCTCGCCCAGGGGTCTCTTCCCTTGCCCCTTCAGCTTTCCACTTTTGGGGAGTTTTATTGTTATTAAACTAATGGGACTTTCTGTGTTTTTATACTGACTCTTTAATCAAGCTAGGGCCCTTTAATCAAGCTAGGATACATCTTTGGTGAAAAAAAAAAAAACAAAACTTTCATTAACCAAAGACAGGCTGAAAGCAAGATAAACAAGTGGGTGGTTTTCTCAAGCACTGATAAGTGCTGCAGAAAAACGTACAGCAGCGGGAGAGGCAGACAGTTATGGATGTAGGGTAGTGCACTTCAGAAATTATACTTTTTCTTATTTTTTTTTTTTTTTGAGACAATTTTGAGACAGTCTCATTCTGTCACCCAGGCTGGAGTGCAGAGGCACGATCTCGGCTCACTGCAGCCTCCACCTCCCAGGTTCAAGCAATTCTGCCTCAACCTCCCGAATAGCTGAGACCACAGGTTCGTGCCGCCATGCCCGATTAATTTTTGTATTTTTAGTAGAGACAGGGTTTCACCACGTTAGCCAGCCTGGTCTTGAACTCCTGACCTCAAGTGATCCACCTGCCTTGGCCTGCCAGAGTGCTAGGATTACAGGCATAAGCCACCACGCCCAGCCTCATTTCAGATAAATTAAAGGAACTTGAACACAATGGGTGACCTCAGTATCTGAGGACAGAAGACCCCTCCAGGCAGGCGGAACAGAAAGGGCCAAGACCCTGAGCCTAGAGCGTGTCTGAGACAGGCAATGCAGTGGAGGTCAGAGGAGCAAGAAACAGGGAAAGCTGAATCGGCAGGAGGAAGGAAGGAAAGGGACTGTGTAGAGAGGGCAGCAGAGAACAGGACCTGGATGTCTTGTCAAGAGGAGGAACTCACACGTGGGGTTGTTAGCAGCTGGGATTGACACTGGTGTTGGGAAAATAGGCAGGGGTGGAGGTGGAAGGAGATTTTGAGTCACATCCTGATCTAGCCCCATAGAAAATCAGCAGGAGAGGATTCTCCTGGGTGAATGAAGAGAGAAGAGCTTAGTCAGAACCCTGGAGGAGACCAGAGAGAGAAAGCCAAGAACCCACAGGTTTTATTACATGCCCTGTGCAAGATTGGGTTTATTTTTTTCATTATGTACACTCTCTCTCTCTCTCTCTCTCTCTCTCTCTCTCTCTCTCAGACAAGAGTCTAGCTGTGTTGCCCAGGCTGAAGTGCAGTGGTGCACTCATAGCTCATTGTGGCCTCAACCTCCCAGGCACAAGTGATCCTCCCACGTCAGCTTCCTGAGTAGCTGGTACCACAGGTGTGCACCACCATGCCTGGCTAATTTTGTTTGTTTTGTTTCTTGTAGAAATGTGGGCTTGCCATGTTGCCCAGGCTGGTCCTGAATGCCTGGGCTCAAATGATCCTCTCACATTGGCTGGGTTTAGAGGCCTGAGCCACCACGCCTGGCCAGCTTTTTTAATTTAAAAAAATATAGAAAGTGTTAATACACCAAAACCTAAAATGCAATAAAATAAATAAATGGGAAAAAAAAAAAGAAAGTGTTAATACAAATTAAAAAGCTATAAAATAGTACCAATAGTATCCAATTTTTCTGAAGAAAAACATAGGCAGAGAAAAATTAATGGATACTGTCTCTCTGGGCAGAAGAATTACTGGCCATTATAACCTTTTTCTTTGTGCATTCCAGAATTTACCAACTTTTCTACTAAGATCATGTAGCACATTAAGATAATAAACATTTTTGTGTGATCTCAAAATACAGGAAGCATAGAAGCTTCCAAAACACGCCTGTACCCACCATGTGAAGAAACAGATGTTAACATTTGGTCATAATTGCTTGGCTTGCTTCAGATTTCTTTTTTTTTTTTTTTTTTTTTTTTGAGACAGAGTTTCGCTCTTGTTGCCCAGGCTGCAGTGCAATGGCATGATCTCAGCTCACTGCAACCTCTGCCTTCTGGGTTCAAGCAATTCTCCTGCCTCAGACTCTCGAGTAGCTGGGATTACAGGCATGTGCCACCATGCCCAGCTAATTTTTGTATTTTTAGTAGAGACGGTATTCCTCCTTGTTGGTCAGGCTGGTTTTGAACTCCCCACATCAAGTGATCCACCCGCCTCAGCCTCCTAAAATGCTGGGATTACAGGCGTGAGTCAGTGCGCCCGGTCCCAGATTTTTTTTTCTTTCTGTTTTGAGACAGGGTCTTGCTCTGTCGCCCAGGCTGGAGTGTAATGGCATGATCTTGGTTCATTGCAACCTCCTCCTCCTGGGTTGGAGGCCAGTGGCACTATCTCAGCTCACTGCAACCTCTGCCTCCTGGGTTTAGGTGAGCACCTCCAGCTAATTTTTATCTTTTTTTTAATTTTATTTTATTATTATTTTTTTAAATAGAGACGGGGTCTTGTTATGTTGCCCAGGCTGGAGTGCAGTGGCTATTCACAGGCGTGATCCCACTACTGATCAGCACGGGAGTTTTGACCTGCTCCATTTCTGACCTGGGCCGGTTCACCCCTCCTTAGGCAACCTGGTGGTCCCCCGCTCCCGGGAGGTCACCATATTGATGCCGAACTTAGTGCGGACATACGATCAGCATAGCACACTACAGCCCAGAACTCCTGGACTCAAGAGATCCTCCAGCCTCAGCCTCCCGAATAGCTGGGACTACAGACACGTGCCACTGCGCCCAGCAGTTTTTATCTTTTTAGTAGAGATGAGGTTTCACCTTGTTGGCCAGGCTGGTCTCAAACACCTGACTTCAGATGATCCTCCTGCCTCGGCCTCCGAAAGCGCTGGGATTACAGGTGCGAGCCACTGTCAGTGGCTAAATAATAATTAAAAAACAAAACAAAACAAAAAAACAGGAGACTGGCCCGGCGCAGTGGCTCACACCTGTAATCCCAGCACTTTGGGAGGCCGAGGCAGGCGGATCACCTGAGGTCAAGAGATCGAGACCAACGGCCGGGCGCGGTGGCTCAAGCCTGTAATCCCAGCACTTTGGGAGGCCAAGGCGGGTGGATCACGAGGTCAAGAGATCGAGACCATCCTGGTCAACATGGTGAAACCCCGTCTCTACTAAAAATACAAAAAATTAGTTGGGCATGGTGGCGCGTGCCTGTAATCCCAGCTACTCAGGAGGCTGAGGCAGGAGAATTGCCTGAACCCAGGAGGCGGAGGTTGCGGTGAGCCGAGATCGCGCCATTGCACTCCAGCCTGGGTAAAATGAGTGAAACCCCGGCTCAAAAAAAAAAAAAAAAAAAAAGAGAGATCCAGACCAGTTTCGCTGAGATGACAAAACTCTGTCTCTACTAAAAATACAAAATTAGCTGGGTGTGGTGGCGCATGCCTGTAATCCCAGCTACTCCGGAGGCTGAAGGAGAATCGCTCGAACCCAGGAAGTGGAAGTCGTGGTGAGGCCCGAGATCGCACCATTGCACTCCAGCCTGGGCCACACGAGCAAAACTCCATCTCAAAAAAAAAAACAGAACAGTTCAGGCGTGGTGGCTCACGCCTGTAATCCCAGCATTTTGGGAGGCCAAGGCTGGTGGATCACCTGAGGTCAGGAGTTCAAGACCAGCCTGACCAACATGGAGAAACCCCATTTCTACCAAAAATAAAAATTAAAAAATTAAATAACAGAAACCAACCAACCAAACAAGCAACAACAACAACAAAACAGGAGACTGAGGCTAAAGATGTCAGCCTTACAGAATCTTAGCCCTTGGCTCAGCCAGGGCTGAAACCCCACCTGGTGCCGTGGCCCTGGGGCTGTGGGTCGGACCCATGGGTGCTCCTAAAGGGTCCCAGGCAGATGGGGGCTCCTGGTGGGCCTGGAGGGGAAACAAGGATAATATCGGCTCCCCTGGCCACCTCTTCTGGCCCAGCTGCAGCTGCAGTCCGTGGGCCTGAGCCGACCTCCGGGGTTCATTGTCCCATTTTACAGATGTGGGGCCTACAGCAGGGGGGCGTGGCGGCGTCGGGCGGTGCAGTGTTCCGGGGCGGGGAGGCCCAGGCGCCCGCCCTCCCCGCCCGGGCTCACCTGGGCCGGCCCAGAGCCCTCGGGCAGGACGGATCGGCCGCTGCCTGTTTAAACCTGGGGCCACCCAGGAGCCCGATCTCCCGCGGATCTGCAGCCGGGCTTGGGCCGCAGCGCCCGCCCCGCCGACGGCAGGTGAGATGCCCGCGGCTCCGTGGGAGGGGTCTCCGCCTGCCCTCGTCACCCACTTCCTTCCCGTTTTTCGCTGCTGCAGGGCTGGGCATGGGGGGAACAAACACCTCGCTGGGTGACCCAGGGAGATCTCTGAGCCAGTGGCCTCGGCATTGAATGAGGGCTCTTTCCCGGGTCCGCGCTGGCAGGGACTAGAGGGACTTGTCCTGAGCGTCGACGGAACGTGTCTCGGCGGCGCCCAGCACGGAGGAGGCAGGCAGGGAGGTGAGGAGCAGGTCAGACCGGCCGCAGGTGCAGCGCCTCCTGCCCTCCGAGGCTGCGGTCCAGTGGAGGGCCTGCAGGCAGCTGTGAGACAGGAGGGTCAGAGGTCTGCAGTCACGCGCGCTGTCACCAGCTAGCTGCCTCCTGCCTACTTCCTCCCGCGGGAATGGGAGTCCGGGGTGGGGTGGGGGGTGAGGAGGGTGTGGACAGGACTTCCTGGAAAAGGGAGGCTCCTTGCTGTTTGTGCATAGCCTGTGGAGAGGGCAGGGGGAGGACAGTGACATATGCAGAGTCCCACACTCAGATGTTGTCAAACACACATCCCACTCCAGACACACAACTCACTTTAGAGACACAACACAGGGACGCACACGAAACTCCATCCATAGGGATTCGCACTCAGTGCCACGTGAGAACGCAGGTGTATATTGCAGACAGGCCACACAGGCCTCACAGGCTCAGCATACACGTCTACAGCGACCCGGCCAGGGCCCAGGTAGGCATGCTTAGCTGCTTGCAGGAAGCAAGACACACCCAACTCAGGCAAGCCCTTACTCTGAGAAGGAGGTGCAGATGTGCCTTGGGTTATCACAGCCAGAGCCCCCCGCCCCCCTCCTCTCTCTCTCTCTCTCTCTCTCACTCACACACACACACACACACACACACAAACTCACACTCAGATACACAGACACATACAGATACACGGGACATGTAAAGCCCACAGCACAGACAGGCCCCTGCAGGTTGACCCGGAGGCTGCGTGGCCTGAGGCTGCATGGCCTGAGGCTGCTTCACACATGTGCCCAGATCCCCTCACCCCTACCCCAGTCCCGTGTCCTGCTCCAGGGAAGTCCAAGGGCTCACATGACCCAAGGGGAGGGCTCCCGGGACAGCCCTCGGAGAAACTGCATCATCCTCACTAATGATCCACTTCCTTTCCAGAGAATAAAGGCTCAGGGACTGGCAGTTCTGCCCCGGAGCCCACCAGCCTCTCGGAGCCTCTGGTCACTGGCCTGTGTCTTCCCCAGGGTGAGTGCTAGGCAGGCTAGGCAGAGGGAGGGTGAAATGGGCCTGCAGGGTCATCTTGGTGCAGCCTGCCCTCTCACAGCCCGCCCCGTACCCTAAGCCGGCTTGTGCAGCCTTGAGTCCTGAGAACTAGGGCACCGAGGGGTTCCTGCAGGGGCAGCCTGCAGCAATGGGTCTCCCTCTCTCTCAGGGCAGGCTGGGGTCTCAAGGCCTCCCTGCCCTTGTCACAGCACAGGCCACCTATGTTCGTTTCTCTTCTCCCAGATGGACATGTGGGCAGCGCTGCTCATCCTGCAAGCCTTGTTGCTACCCTCCCTGGCTGACGGAGCCACCCCTGCCTTGCGCTTCATAGCTGTGGGCGACTGGGGAGGGGTCCCCAATGCCCCATTCCACACAGCCCGGGAAATGGCCAACGCCAAGGAGATGGCTAGGACCGTGCAGGTCCTGGGTGCAGACTTCATCCTGTCTCTAGGGGACAATTTCTACTTCACTGGTGTACAAGACGCCAATGACAAGAGGTTCCAGGTCTGTGCCCAACAGAGTGGGGCAGGAGGTGGCGGGGGGCAGTGGGGAGAAGCCACCTTACCTGGAGACCTTCCTTTGGAGAAGGCAGAGGGAAGGTGATGGGGCATCTTGGGGCGCTGGAGCATCAGTGTCTCCCTTATCCCTGGCTCCTAACTTGGTGGGAGGATCAGGATAGCCATTGACCCCAGGGAAGGGGCCTGCCCTGTCTGTTCACTACAGGAGACCTTTGAGGACGTATTCTCTGACCGCTCCCTTCGAAACGTGGCCTGGTATGTGCTGGCCGGAAACCACGACCACCTCGGCAACGTCTCTGCGCAGATTGCATACTCTAAGATCTCCAAGCGCTGGTGAGCCACCCCCAACCCTGCCACCCCCAGACCCTGACACAGTGGGGACACGGGGCCCTGTGGCTTGAGCTGACCCTGGGAATTCTGTGTCCAAGATGTGCACCCTCGACCTCTATGCCCTCCACAGGAACTTCCCTAGCCCTTTCTACCGCCTGCGTTTCAAGGTCCCACGGACCAACGTGTCTGTGGCCATTTTTATGCTGGACACTGTGATGCTATGTGGCAATTCAGATGACTTCCTCAGCCAGCAGCCTGAGAGGCCCCGAGACCCGGACCTGGCCCGCACCCAGCTGTCCTGGCTCAAGAAACAGCTGGCAGTGGCCAGGGAGGACTACGTGCTGGTGGCAGGCCACTACCCCGTGTGGTCCATAGCTGAGCACGGGCCTACCCGCTGCCTGGTCAAGCAGCTACGGCCACTGTTGGCCACATATGGGGTCACCGCCTACCTGTGCGGCCATGATCACAACCTGCAGGTGAGGGCCCTGTGGGTGGAGTGGGAGCTGGGTGAGGGGTCCCCATCCCAGCTGATGTCCACATGGCTGGGGTCCTCCTGCTATTTAACGGCCTCCTGTGGCCTTCAGAATGTCTAGACTGTCCCTCAAATCTTGCTGTCTCACCAGGAAAACACTCCAAACCCAGAATAATATCTTTGACTTGCCAATTTCTTTCTTTTTTTCTCTTTTCTTGCTTTTTTTTTTTTTTTTTTGAGATGGAGTCATGCCCTGTTGCCAGACTGGAGTGCAGTGGCACAATCTTGGCTCACTGCAACCTCTGACTCCCTGGTTCAAGCAATTCGCCTGCCTCAGCCTCCTGAGTAGCTGGGACTACAGGCACACGCCACCACGCCAAGCTAATTTTTGTATTTTTAGTAGAGACAGGGTTTCACCATGTTGGCCAGGATGGTCTCGATCTTCTGACCTCATGATTCACCCATCTTGGCCTCCCAAAGTGCTGGGATTACAGGTGTGAGCCACCACAGCTGTCCTTTTCTTTTTCTTTCTTTTTTCTTTTTGAGACAAGGTCTCACTCTGTTTTTCGCCCAGGCTAGAGTGCAGTCATGCAATTAGAGCTCATTGCAGCTTCAATCTCCCGGGCTCAGGTGATCCACCTCAGCCTCAAGTAGTTGAGACTACAGGCATGTGCCACCATGTGCAGCTATTTTTTTTTCTTTTCTTTTGAGAGGGAGTCTCGTTCTGTCACCCAGGCTGGAGTGCAGTGCAACCTCCACTTTCTGGGTTCAAGCTATTCTCCTGTTCAGCCTCCTGAATATCTGGGATTACAGGCTTTTGACATCACACCCAGCTAATTTTTGTATTTAGTAGAGATGGGGTTTCACCAGGTTGGCCAGGCTGGTCTCAAACTCCTGACCTCAAGTGATTCCCCCCCCCTTGGCCTCCAAAGTGCTGAGATTACAGGCGTGAGCCACTGTGCCTGACCCTTTTGCACTTTTTGTAGAGACAGGGTCTTACTATGTTGCCCAGGCTGGTCTGAAACTCCTGGGCTCAAGCAATCCACCTGCCTCAACCTCCCAAATTTCTGGGATTACAGCACTGCACCTGGCCACCAATTTCTTACTAAGTGTTCTACCTGTGAAATAGGATTACTGTACTCCTAAAAGTTGGGAAATTGAAGGCAGGAGGGGTTAGGTACCTCAAGGTGACTCTGTGGTTAGGGCCAGATCTAGCCCCAGACCCTATGCAGGTGTGGGTGGAACCCCTGCTCAAAGCTGGGTCTCCACTGACCCCTCGTCCTCCATCCTCAGTACCTGCAAGATGAGAACGGCGTGGGCTATGTGCTGAGTGGGGCTGGGAATTTCATGGACCCCTCTAAGCGGCACCAGCGAAAAGTCCCAAACGGCTACCTGCGCTTCCACTATGGCATGGAAGACTCACTGGGTGGGTTTGCCTATGTGGAGATCAGCTCCAAAGAGATGACAGTCACTTACATCGAGGCCTCGGGCAAGTCCCTCTTCAAGACCAGCCTGCCAAGGCGAGCCAGGCCCTGAAATCTCATGAATGCCCAGCTCTGAGGCCGGATCCCCACTGTTGGGTGGGTGGGCCCTACCGGGACCCTGCTCACAGGCAGGCTTTTCCTCTAACCTGTGGTTCTGCAGCAGGGCAGGCAGGAGAACCACAGCTGATGAACTGTGGTGTCACATGACCCTTGTGGCACAGATGCCCACATATGTGAAACAGACATGGATGTGTGTCCCAGCCACAGTATTACACTCTGTGGCTGGCTCACCTCTGCTGAGTTCCAGGGTGCAGTGAGGGAGGGAGAGAAAGCTTCATCCTAAATCAGGCATCTTTCTGTCACTGATGTTCAATAAAAGAATAGTTGCCAAGACTGAACCAGTGCCACTGGCGTGTTATATGCTCTGGGTTAGAGTGGCTGGGCTCCCTGAGCTGCAGTTCCTTGCCTCTACCTCCCTCCATAACCAAGTTGCCTCATCCATGGATGTGATTTTAAAACCCAAGCAGTGGCCGCATGCAGTGGCTCACGTCTGTAATCCCAGCACTTTGGGAGGGCGAGGCAGACAGATCACAAGGTCAGGAGATCCAGACCATCCTGGCTAACACAGTGAGACCCCTTCTCTCTACTAAAAATACAAAAAATTGGCCAGGTGTGGTGGCATGTGCCTATAGTCCCAGCTACCCAGGAGGCTGAGGCAGGAGAATCGCTGGAACCCAGGAGGTGGAGGTTGCAGTGAGCCAAGATCGCACCACTGCACTCTAGCCTGGGTGACAGAGCAAGCCTCTGTCTCAAAAAAAAAAACAACAAAAAAAAACCCAAGCAGAGACTAGGCTCGGTGTTTCACATCTGTATCTCAGCACTTTGGGAGGCCAAAGTGGGTGGATCATTTGAGGTCAGGAGTTTGAGACCAGCCTGGCCAACATGGTGAAACCCCATCTCTACTAAAAATATAAAAAGTTAGCAGGGCATGGTGGCATGTGCCTATAATCCCAGCTACTCAGGAGGTTGAGGCAGAAGACTCACTTGAACCTGGAAGGCAGAAGTTGCAGAGAGCCAAGATCGCCCCACTACACTCCAGCCTAGGCAACAAGAGTGAAACGCCATCTCAAAAAAAAGAAAAAATTAGCCAGTTTTGGTGGTGGGTGCCTGTGGTCCTAGCTATTTGGAGGCTGAGGCAGGAGAACTGCTTGAACCCAGGAGGTAGACGTTGCAGTGGGCCGAGATTGTGCCACTGCCCTCCAGCCTGGGCGACAGAGCAAGGCTCTGTCTCAAGCAAAAAAATAAATAAATAAATAAATAAATAAAATAGGCCAAGCACAGTGGCTCATGCCTGTAATCCCAGCACTTTGTGAGGCCTAGGTGGGCTGATCAGCTGAGGTCAGAAGTTTGAGACCAGCCTGGCCAACATGGTAAAACCCATTTCTACTAAAAATTAAAAACTTAACTAGGCATGGTGACACACACCTGTAATCCCAGCTACTGGGGAGGCTGAGGCAAAAGAATCACTTGAGCCTGGAAGCCTGGGTGGATCACCTGAGGTCAGGAGTTCAGGACCAACCTGACCAATATGGTGAAACCCCGTCTCTACTAAAAATACAAAAATTAGCTGGTCACGGTGGCATGCGCCTGTAATCCCAGCTACTTGGGAGGCTGAGGCAGAATAATTTAAACCAAGGAGGCGGAGGTTGCAGTGAGCCGAGATCATACAACTGCACTCCAGACTGGGCAGCACAGCAAGACTCTGTCTCAATAAAAAAATCAAATAAAAATAAATAAACAATAAATGTTTCTCTCTTACCAACAAGGCTGCAGGGGTGGTCCCTGGACCAATGCTTTTGTATGTCTGTACAGGTATGTGTGTAAGAAAACTTCTAGAAGCAGAATTATCTCAGGTCCAGGCCAGGCCAGGTGGCTCACACCTGTAATCCCAGCGCTTTGGGAGGCCAAAGTGGGCAGATCACTTGAGGTCAGGAGTTAGAGAACAGCCTGGTCAACATGGTAAAACCTCATCTCTACTAAAAATACAAAAAATTAGCTGGGGGTTGTGGTACATGCCTGTAATCCAAGCTATTTGGGAGGCTGAGGCAGGAGAATCGCTTGAACCCAGGAGGCGGAGGTTGCAGTGACCCAAGATTGCACCACTGCATTCCAGCCTGGGCAACAGAGTGAGATTCGGTTTACAAAAAAAAAAAAAGAATTATCATAGGGCCGTTTTCTTTCTTAAATACTGAAAGCCAAGTGCTAGACCTGATGTGACAGCTGCAGGGGAGCCCAGTTCCCCTCTGAGGGAGAGTTAAGTAACACCCACCCCACCCCCAGGCAATCCTAACCATTGCCTTGCTAGGCAAGGCACAGGAACCCCTCCTTTGGCCTGCCCTTAACCACCACTTCAGCTGCTACTCTGCAGAGACCCAATCGTTTGGCTCCAGCTGCCTGCCCAGCTGAGTGAAATGAACCTGGACAAAATGTAACAGGACTGGGCATGATGGTTCACGCCTGTAATCCCAGCACTTTGGTAGGCCAGGACAGGCGGATCACTTCAGGACAGGAATTTGAGACCAGCCTGGCCAACATGGCAAAACCCCATCTCTGGTAAAAAATACAAAAGAATTAATCAGGCCTGGTGACGCATGCTTATAATCCCAGTTATTTGGGAAGCTGAGGCAGGAGACTTATTCTAGTTTGGGAAGTGGAGGCTGGAGTGAGCTGTGATCATGCCACTGCACTCCAGTCTGGAAGATTCCATCTCAAAAAAAAAAAAAAAAGTGTAACTGAGGTGACTTCTGGGGAAAAGGCACTTGGTGAAACTGTCACCTTTCGTTACTTTATTTATTTATTTATTTTGAGACAAAGTTTTGCTCCTGTTGCCCAGGCTGGAGTGCAATAGTTTGATCCTGGCTCACCGCAACCTCCACCTCCCAGGTTCAAGCAATTCTCCAGCCTCAGCCTCCCAAGTACTGGGATTACAGGTATGCGCCACCACAGCCAGCTAATTTTGTATTTTTTAAGCAGAGACAGGTTTTCTACATGTTGGGCAGGCTGATCTTAAACTCCCGATCTCAGATATGCCTGCCTTAGCCTCCCAAATCACACCTGGGATTACAGATGTGAGCCACTGTGCCCAGCTCATTTGTACTTTGTGTGTGTGTGTGTGTGTGTGTGTGTGTGTATCTTAGTATCATTTGCTACTTTACAGATGTCAATATTGTTGAATTTGTTACAAGGTATATGTGTTACTGTTATAATTTGGGGGGATTTTTTGAAATAGGGTCTCACTCTGTTGCCCAGGTTGGTGTGCAGTGGTACAATCATAGCTCACTGCAGCCTCCACGTCCTGGGCTCAAGTGATCCTCCTGCCTCTGCCTCCTGAGTAGCTGGGACCACAGCTTCACACCACCACTCTTGGCTAATTTTGTGCATGTTTGTTTTGTAGAGATGGAGTCTTGCAATGTTGAGGTCTTAAACTCCTGACCTCAAGCAATCCTCTCTCCTCCTCAGCCTTCCAAAGTGCAGGATTACAGGTGTGAGCATCTACTTTTTTTTTCTTCCCCTCCCTCCCGCCTCTGGCCAACTATTATAATTAAGCAGTTATCCTTGCAAAATGCAATCCTGGCCAGGTGCGGTAGCTCACGCCTGTAATCCCAGTACTTTGGGAGACCGAGGCGGGCGGATCACTTGAGATCAGCAGTTTGAGACCAGCCTGGCCAACATGGTGAAACCCTGTCTTCACTAAAAATACAAAAATTAGCTGGGCGTGGTGGCACATGCTTGTAATTCCAGCTACTTGGGAGGGTGAGACAGGAGAATCACTTGAACCCGGGAGGCGGAGGTTCCAGTGAGCTGAGATCATGCCATTGAGCTCCAGCCTGAGTGACAGAGCAAGACTCCGTCTCAAACAACCCAAAATTCCAATCATTTGTTCCAGCTGCCATTTACCATCACTTCTGATCCTGGCCCATGAGTCAGGGGCCAGAATCGTACCTGCTTCTCAGAGAATGTTAGAGAAGTTCAGACAGGGCTGGGCGCAGGGGCTCACGCCTGTAGTCCCAGCACTTTGGGATATGAGGCAGGCGGATCACGAGGTCAGGAGTTCAAAACCAGCCTGGCCAAGATGGTGAAACCCTATCTCTACTAAAAATACAAAAATTAGCTGGGTGTGGTGGTGCACGCCTGTAGTCCCAGCTACTCAGGAGGCTGAGGCAGGAGAATCGCTTGAACCCAGGAGGCAGAGGTTGCAGTGAGCTGAGATGGTGCCACTGGACTCCAGCCTGAGCGACAGAGCAAGACTGTCTCAAAAAGAAAGAAAGAAGCCGGGCGCGGTGGCTCAAGCCTGTAATCCCAGCACTTTGGGAGGCCGAGGCGGGTGGATCACGAGGTCAAGAGATCGAGACCATCCTGGTCAACATGGTGAAACCCCGTCTCTACTAAAATTACAAAAAATTAGCTGGGCATGGTGGCGCGTGCCTGTAATCCCAGCTACTCAGGAGGCTGAGGCAGGAGAATTGCCTGAACCCAGGAGGCGGAGGTCGCGGTGAGCCGAGATCGCGCCATTGCACTCCAGCCTGGGTAACAAGAGCGAAACTCCGTCTCAAAAAAAAAAAAAAAAAGCTTAGATGGGTTTTTGTGGGTTTTTTTTTTTTTTTTTTTTGGCACAATATCTATCTTAGACGGGACGGTTTAAGTACTGTGACCAAGGTCATTCCTAGGAGGCTGCAGTCCCTCAGTCTTAACCACAACAGTCTAGGGAGGTCACAGCCACCCTGTCTCTTCCCACTGACTCAGAGGCACCAGGCAGGCAGGAGTCTGAATCAGAGGTCACCATCATAGCCCAAGGTCCCCGTTCCCAGGGCCCAGAGCCAGAAAGAAGAAGTGACACATCCAATGTCACACGAAGACTGAGTGGCAGGGGAGGAGGGATTGTAACTCAGGCTCCCTCCTCTACACCAGCCAGACACTTCTACCCAGCACCAAGGAGCAAAGCTCTGTGCCAAGCAGCTGGGGACCCAAGGACACTGGGAGGAATAAATCAGGGCAGGTGCTCACCATTGGGGGCTTCTATCTTGCTGAGGAGACAACACCAGGCAGCACTCAGCCATCTGAATTAATTAATTTATTTATTCTTTTCTTTCTTTCTTCTTCTTCTTCTTCTTTTTTTTTTTTTTTTGAGATGGAGTTTCGCTCGTTACCCAGGCTAGAGTGCAATGGCACGATCTCGGCTCACCACAACCTCTGCCTCCTCGGTTCAAGCAATTCTCCTGCCTCAGCCTCCCGAGTGGCTGGGCTACAGGTGTGTGCCACCATGCCCAGCTAATTTTTGTATTTTTAGTACAGACGGGGTTTCACCATGTTGACCAGGATGGTCTCGATCTCTTGACCTCGTGATCCACCCGCCCTGCTCTTTTTACTTTTTCTTTTTTTTTTTTTTTGAGATGGAGTTACCCAGGAATTCAAGGCTAGCCTGGGCAACATAGCAAGATCCCATCTCTACAAAAAATACATAAATTAACCAGGCATGGAGCTGAAGGCTACAGTGAGCAATGATCACACCACAGCATTCCAGCCTGAGCCTGGATGACAGAGTGAGATCCCCTCTCTAAAATAGAAAAAGCAAAAACAAACAAACAAACAAAAAACCCAACCCAAAATATTGGCTCAGGAAAATATCAAGAGAGAAAGTAGAAACCAATACAAAAACAATACAGCAGTGACTCAGGAAAATACAAAGAGGGAATCCAAGAACAAATTCAGCCAAATTTACATAAGAACATAATATAGGTTCAAGGTGGTATTGTAACTTCATGTTAAAGGAGGTGTTATTTGCCTTGTCAGTTTGCACTGGCATGAGCCCAAACCTGAAACCTACCTTAGACCATATACAAAAATAAATTATGAAGGAATCAAATATTTCAGTGTAAAAATAAATCACAGGGGCTAGGTGCAGTGGCTCACACCTGTAATCCCTGCACTTTGGGAGCCGAGGCAGGTGGATCACCTGAGGTCAGGAATTCGAGACCAGCCTGGCCAACATGATGAACACCCATCTCTACTAAAAATACAAAAAATTAGCTGGGCACATTGGCACGTGCCTATAATCCCAGCTACTCAGGAAGCTTAGGCAGGAGAATCACTTAAACCTGGGAGGTGGAGGTTGCAATGAGCCAAGATTATACCACTGCACTTCAGCCTGGGCAACAAGAGCAAAACTCTATCTCGAAAAAATAAAATAAAATAAAAATCACAGGGAGGCAGGATGTGGTGGCTTATGCCTATAATCCCAGCATTTTGGGAGGCCCAAGTGAGTGGATTGCTTTAGCCCAGGAGTTCGAGACCAGCCTGAGCAACATAGTGAGACCTCATCTCTACCAAAAAATAATAAATAAATAAATAAACAGACATGAAGGCGCTTATCTGTAGTCCCAGATACTCAGGGGGCAGGAGGGTGGAGTGGAGAGCATGGGGCAGGGGCTGAGGCAGGAGGATCAGTAGAGCCTGGGAGGTCAAGGCTGCCGTGAGTCATGATCATGGCACTGTACTTCAGCCTGGGCCACAGAGTGAGACCCTGTCTTAAAATCAATCAATCAAGCAAGCAAGCAATCACAGGGAAAGATGAAAATGAACATCCACACAAAGTCCTGTGGAGGCAAGATTTCTCCTCTACCCTCTTAGATCTCTGGCTGGACCTAAGAATTAAACTGACATGTGACAGATTAGTAGGAGAAAAGCAGAGAAATTTATTTAACGTAAGTTCTATGGGACATGGGAGCCCTGAAAAGGAACTGAAGACCCAAAGAGGAAGTTAGAGTGAAGCATTCATCTGCTGAATTGAACAAACAGTAGTAAATTATGGATGGGCATGGTGGCTCACACCCTTACTCCCAGCACTTTGGGAAGCTTAGGTGGGTGGATCACGATGTCAGGACTTTGATATCAGCCTGACTAACATGGAGAAACCCCATTTGTACTAAAAATACAAAAATTAGCCGAGCATGGTGGTATATGCCTGTAATCCCAACTACTGGGGAGGCTGAGGCAGGAGAATCACTTGAATCGAGGAGGCAGAGGTTGCAGTGAGCAGAGATCACACCACTGCACTCCAGCCTGGGCAACAGAGAGAGACTCTGTCTTTAAAAAAAAAAAAGAGTAGTAAATTATGGATGGGCATGGTGGCTCACATTTGTAATCCCAACACTTCGGGAGACCAAGATGGGAGGTCTGCTTGGGCCCAGGAGTTCAAGAACAGCCTGGACAACACAGGGAGACCCCATCTCTAAAACAACAAAAAATAAAATTAGCTGGATGGCATGCACCTGTAGTCCTACGTACTCAGGAGGCTGAGACGGGAGGATCACTTGAGCCCAGGAGTTTGAGGCTGCAGTTAGCTATGACTGCACCACTGCACTCCAGCCTGGGCAGCAGAGTGAGATCCTGTCTCTACATAAATACATAAATAAATAAAATAGCCAGGCGCGGTGGCTCACGCCTGTAATCCTAGCACTTTGGGAGGCTGAAGCTGGCAGATCACCTGAGGTCACGAGTTCAAGACCAGCCTGACCAATATGGTGAAACCCCATCTTTAAAATAAAAAATATATAAATAAAAATAAATAAATAAAATAAAAATTATAAATAAATACATAAAGTTTTTAAAAGCTGGTAAATTTTGAAAGTGTGACAAGACAAAGGGGTTTGGGCTATGGCAGTTAATAGTGGAAAAATAACTAGAAAAATAAGGGTTTGCTTAACAAGGTTGTTTATGAGGGGTGGCCGGGTAAAGGGTTGAGAAAAAAAATTAAAAAAAATTAAAAAATAAAATAAATAAATAAAAAATAAAAAACAGCAAGATTTGTTTGTATATTTCTTTTTTTTTTCATAGTTTAATGTATTTTAATAGCAAACTTACAGGAACAGCACAGAAGACAGACAACATTAAAAACATGTACTTGCATGTAGGACAACTCAGTTAGAAAAGTATAGTGAATGAGGCCGGGCGCAGTGGCTCACGCCTGTAATCCCAGCACTTTGGGAGGCCGAGGCGGGTGGATCACGAGGTCAAGAGATCGAGACCATCCTGGTCAACATGGTGAAACACCGTCTCTACTAAAAACTACAAAAAATTAGCTGGGCATGGCGGCGCGTGCCTGTAATCCCAGCTACTCAGGAGGCTGAGGCAGGAGAATTGCCTGAACCCAGGAGGCGGAGGTTGCAGTGAGCCGAGATCGTGCCATTGCACTCCAGCCTGGGTAACAAGAGCGAAACTCCGTCTCAAAAAAAAAAAAAAAAAAAGAAAAGTATAGTGAATGGATGGAATCTACTGTGTGATAAAAATGCTACAAACACCATTTAGTTGCCGTCAATAAGAAATTTACATGTTTTAAAAAAATCCAAATGCTGGCATTGTGCAGAAAAATTTAACAGGTTTATTTATAATTATTATAAAGTTGAACCGCTGAAACTTGTTCACTGAAACATTTTAACTTGCATTAATGCTTTACATCTCCGCATTTATATTAAAAATTCACACACAAATGAAAATGGAAAAACTGCCAATACCTGATTTCTGTCCCCTATTTTTCCGCTCGCAATCATATACTTAGGTACCTTTTGACCCCATGGAAAAAAAAATTTGTAACATTCAGAACTACCAGTAACAGGAAGAAGAGAATTTTTTTTTTTTTTGAGAATGAAATGTTTCCCATCATAGTGGATTCTTAAGCACGCTCTCCACGTATGCGGCGTGCTAGCTGGATGTCTTTTGGCATAATTGTTACACGTTTGGCATGGATAGCACAAAGGTTGGTGTCTTCAAAAAGGCCAACCAGATAGGCCTCACTTGCCTCCTGCAAAGCACCGATAGCTGCGCTCTGGAAGCGCAGATCTGTTTTAAAGTCCTGAGCAATTTCTCGCACCAGACGCTGGAAGGGAAGTTTGCGAATCAGAAGTTCAGTGGGCTTCTGATAACGTCTAATTTCACGGAGTGCCACAGTACCAGGCCTGTAACGATGAGGTTTCTTCACCCCTCCAGTAGAGGGCGCACTCTTGCGAGCGGCTTTTGTAGCCAGTTGCTTCCTGGGTGCTTTACCACCGCTAGATTTGCGGGCAGTCTGCTTTGTACGAGCCATGGTATAGAGACCTCCTTACTTACCCCCCTTCTCCTTCGGCTGGAGTTCGTCGAGGGAGAGGTGGCGCTGGCGTTGGAGAGCGACGGCGGTGCGGCGGCGGCTGCGAACACCTGTTTGTATATTTCTTCCGTGAGCTTTGACTCCCTGTCCTCTGGTGATAAGAATTTTCTACCCTAGGGCTGGGTATGGTGGCTCATGCCCGTAATCCCAGCACTTTGGGAGGCAGAGGCAGGTGGTTCACTTGAGCTCAGGAGTTGGAGACCAGCCTGGGCAACTTGGTGAAACCCTGTCTCTACCAAAAATACAAAAAATTAGCTGGGCATGGTAGTGTGTGCCTGTGATCCTAGCTACTCCGGGACAAGGCAAGAGGATCACTTGAGGCTAGGAGGTGGAGATTGCTGTGAGCCAAGATCACACCACTTCACTCCAGGCTGGGCAATGGGATAAGACCCTGTCTCAAAAAAAAAAAAAAAAAAAAAAAAGAATTTTACTTTCTTTCTGGTATGGGGAGGGCATCTTCCATATGGGGGTTTATCTCATTTTCCAGAAGAAAAGAGGGAGGTCACAGTGCTTTTCTGCACCTGCTATTTTTCAAGTGCCCTTAGCTCAAAACAATCCATATGCCAAAGTGGCATATTTTGGTGGCATCGTCTGCCACCCTCAAAATGAAAGAGACGGTTCATAGCAGCTGTAATAATTGCTCAACACTGGCAACAATTCGAAAACCAGCCATTAACAGGTGAAAGGATTAACAAAGTGTGAGACAGTCATATAACAGAATACAACTGAGTAATAAAAAGAAATAAAACTGGGTGTGGTGGCTCATGCCTATAATCCTAGCACTTTGACAAAGCCAAGGCAGGTGGATTGCTTGAGCCCAGGAGCTCAAGAACAGCATGGGCAACATGGCAAAACCTTGTCTTTCTTTTTTTTTTGAGACAGAGTTTTGCTCTTGTGACCAGGCTGGAGTGCAGTGGCACAATCTCAGCTCACTGCAACCTCTGCCTCCCGGGTTCAAGTTATTTTCCTGCCTCAGCCTCTCGAGTAGCTGAGATTACAGGCGGTCGCCACCACACCTGGCTAATATTTGTATTTTCAGTAAAGATGGGGTTTCACTATATTGGCCAGGCTGGTCTCGAACTCCTGATCTCAGGTGATCCATCCACTTTGGCCTCCCAAAGTGATGGGATTACAGGCATGAGCCACTGCACCTGGCCTGGTGAATACACAAAAATTAGCTGGGCGTGGTGGCACACAGTTGTAATCCCAGCTACTTGGGAAGCTGAGGTGGGAGAATCACTTGAGCCTGGGAAATTGAGGCTGCAGTGAACCGTGATGGTGCCACTGCACTCCAGTCTGGGTAACATAGTGAGACCCCATCTCAAAAGAAAAGAAAAAAGAAAACCGCTGACATGGCCAACAACATGAGTTTCTTTTTTTGTTTTCGTTTTTGTTTTGTTTTGTTTTTTTTGAGACGGAGTCTGGCTCTGTCGCCCAGGCTGGAGTATAGTAGTGCAATCTCGACTCACTGCAATCTCTGCCTCCTGGGTTCAAACGATTCTTCTGCTTCAGCCTCCTGAGTAGCTGGGATTACAGTTTGTGAGCCACCATGCCCTGATAATTTTTGATTTTTAGTAAGGACAGGGTTTCCCCATGTTGGCCATGTTGGTCTTGAACTCCTGACCTCAAATGATCCACTCATCTTGGCCTCCTAAAGTGCTGGGAACATGAGTGAGTTTTAAACATCACATGCTGGGGAAAGAAGCCTCTCAATAGGCTACACGTTGTATGATTCAGCTTATAAGACTTTCTGAAAAAGACAAAGTTATAGGAACCAAAACAAATCTGGTAGGGCCGGGGGCAAGAGTAGGACAGAGCATGAAAGGGCAAGAGAAAATTTTTTCTTTTCTTTTTTTTAAGATGGAGTCTTGATCTGTCACCCAAGCTGGGGTGCAGTGGCACAATCTCGGCTCACTGCAGCCTCCGCCTCCTGGGTTCAAGTGATTCTCCTGCCTCAGTCTCCCAAGTAGCTGGGACTACAGGCATGTATCACCACATCTGGCTAATTTTTGTATTTATAGTAGAGACTACAAGGGCTTTCACCTGTTGCCCAGGCTGGTCTCAAACTCCTGGCCTTGAGTGATTTTTACACGTTGACCTCCCAAAGTGCTGGGATTACAAGCATGAGCCACCATGCTCAACCACTGGTAAGAGCAAATGTCTTAGGGTGATGGAAATAATTGTCTTGATTGTGGTCATGTTTTAATGATATACCTGTATGTCAAAACATGCAATTTCAGCCAGGCATAGTTTAAATATGAGCAGTTTGTGTGCAGTGAATTATATCGTAACAAAGCCCAGAAGGAGGGAAGTAAGAGGAGGAAGGGACGAAAGGAGAGAAAAAGAGTAAACTAATATGGCAATCATAAACAAAATGAAAGATATATACACCCTGTGACTCAGAAATGTCTTTTTTTTTTTTTGAGACGGAGTTTCACTCTTGTTACCCAGGCTGGAGTGCAATGGCGCGATCTCGACTCATCGCAACCTCTGCTGCCTGGGTTCAAGCAATTCTCCTGCCTCAGCCTCCCGAGTAGCTGGGACTACAGGCATGTGCCACCATGTCCAGCTAATATTTGTATTTTTAGTAGAGACGGGGTTTCACCATGTTGACCAGGATGGTCTCAATCTCTTGACCTCGTGATCCACCCACCTCGGCCTCCCAAAGTGCTGGGATTACAGGCGTGAGCCACCACGCCCAGCCTTTTTTTTTTTTTTTTGAGACAGTTTCACTCTTGTTGCCCAGGCTGGAGTGCAATGGTACAATCTCAGCTCACTGCAACTTCTGTCTACCAGGTTCAAGCAATTTTCCTGTCTCAGCCTCCCAAGTAGCTGGGATTACAGGCATGTGCCACCACACCAGGCTAATTTTTATATTTTTAGTAGAGACGGGGTTTCACCATGTTGATCAGGCTGGTCTTGAACTCCTGACCTCAGGTGATCCACGCAACTCGGCCTCCCAAAGTGCTGGAATTACAAGCATGAACCACCGCACCAGGCCATCATTTATTTTTATTATATTTTATTTTATTTTTAGAGACAGGGTTTCACTATGTTGCCCAGGCTAGCCTCAAACTCGTGGGATCAAGCAATCCTCCCACCTTGGCCTTCCAAAGTGCTCAGATTACAGGGGTGAGACACTGTACTCACAGATATCATTTCTTGAAAACTGTCTCACTAAAGATCCAGTCCCAGTCCTAAGGATTTTGATCCAGGGACTTTTACTGCATCATCATAGTGGCAAAACTCAGGAAGATCCAGGAATTGTCCATCAGTAGGATAACAGTTGATTGTACTATGGCAGAGTTGCACTATGAATCGTGTAGCTACTAAAAACAGGAGTTAGGTATACGTGTATAGACGGTTAAGTGTAAACAACAAGTTGCACGGTAGCTGTATGATTCCATCCTGTGTGGATTCTAGGTCGTGCCAGCACTGAAAAAGGGTCTCACAGGACGGCAGGTATACTGGTTACACTTGACAGTTCCCAGGGTATCACTGCCCCCTAGGGGACATCCTAGAGATCGCGCTACAGACAGTCCCTGACGACGGTTCTAAGGTTTTTCAACTTTATTATGATAGTTTTATCGGGATGTAACCCCATCGTAAGTCAAGGAGCATCTGTATTTGAAATACATTTCATTACAAATTATTTTCCTTAACACTCTAATGCAACAGCTTTTATCAAGGTCCCCAGAGACCTTGCCAAACTCAACTGTCAATTCTCTTTCCTCATTTTAACTCAGGGACACATGACACAGCTAACCCCTCTCTCTCTATCTTGAAATATGTTCTTCAGGTCGGGCGTGGTGGTAATCCCAGCAACCTGGGAGGCCAGGGCGGGTGTATCACTTAGGAGTTCGAGACCAGCCTGGACAACATGATGACACCCCATCTCTACTAAAAATACAAAAGTTAGCCAGGATGGTGGTGCGCACCTGTAATCCGTCTTGGTGACCCTGTTTCAGGAAAAACAAAAACAAAAAACAATAAACGTCCTTAACACGGCCCACGAGGCCCCATGGAATCTGGCCCCAGCCTGTCCATTCAACTTCATCTATTACAATCTGGGCACTAAAAATGTGGTCTGCGGACCAGCAGCGTGTAAGTCACCTGGGAACGAGTTAGAAATTCAGCCTCTCAGGCCTCCCTCTTCATCTGTTGGGTCAGAGCCTGAATTTTAAAAAGGCCCGCAGATGCTCGTTAGAGTTTAAGTAGAGCGTCTTAGAAGCTTACAAGCTTCCCCTTCACCCTGATTCGGCCATAAGGGTATTTCATATTCCTCACTTTCCGCTCCTGGGAACTGACCAGAGAAGTACCGGCCTCACACGCAGCTTCAGATAAACACGCTCCGGCTTTTGCGCAGGCGTACTGCGACCACCGCTCACTCCTATTTGAATACGCGTGCGCTCAGAGTCGCGGCGACGAAGGCGGGGCCTATTTGCAGGGCAGTCCCAGCCGGGGATGGGCGGGACCTGAAAGGAGGAGAGGGGTTTCCGCTTCCGGCAGGAGTCGGAAGTCACTGTCTCCCGGGTAAACGGAGCTTTTGCAGCGAGGCTAGGTGAGTGCTCGTGCGGCTCGTGCAGGTGGGCGTTGGGGCCGGGCAGGACTGGGAGTTCTTCTACGCCGGGCGTTTACGGGGTCCTGGAGGAGGAGTCTGGGACCCCGGGCTTGGGGGGAGGCAGGTCGGGGAGACTGACTCCCCCCGACCCCATCCATCCAAGAGCGACTACCGGGGCGCCTGGCTCCTCCCGGCGGCCGTCGGGAGGCGATGCCGAGGCCTCGGTGAGTCTGTAGGAACAGCCAACCCCCCACCCCTTGGGTCTCCGCAGATTCGAGGATGACTTCTCTGCCATACCCTTTTGGCGCGCTTGAACTTAACGTTGTCACAGGACAGGCTGAAGCCTCTGCAATCCTTATGCAAGCCAGACCCCATTCATGGGGTGGGGGAACTGTAGTCCCTGGGCAAAATGAGATTCC